TCAATAAGTGTCTCCAAACTGGCGCTGTCCCTGCCAGTCTTAAAGTGGCTACAGTCACTCCCCTACTCAAGAAGCCTTCACTTGACTCTTCTGTTCTAAAAAATTTTAGGCCAATTTCTGTCTTACCTTTCATTTCTAAGGTATTGGAGAAAATTGTGCTGGATCAACTTCAACATTTTTTGACTAGAAATTGTATTTATGAGGTTTTTCAATCTGGTTTTAAGTCTGCTCACAGCACTGAGTCTGCCCTCTTGAGAGTGTTAAATGATATTTATCTCTCCACTGATTCTGGAGACTCTGTGGTTCTTATTCTTTTAGATTTATCGGCCGCTTTTGATACAGTTGACCACTCCACACTATTATCCAGACTAGAGTCCTGGGTGGGTCTAAAAGCTACCGTTCTTAATTGGTTTCAGTCATACCTGTCTGACAGAAAGTTTTTAGTGAAGCTGGGTAATTTTACCTCTTCCAATGCACCTCTGACCTGTGGCCTACCGCAAGGCTCTATATTAGCTCCTTCTCTATTTTCTCTCTACATGCTACCTCTGGGCTCTATTCTAAGGAAACATGGTGTCTCTTTTCATTTCTATGCTGATGATACTCAAATCTATCTACCAATCAAAAGAAACAATTCCGCAGCGATTACCTCTCTTCAGCAATGCTTAGAGGAGGTTAAATTATGGCTCGCCCAAAATTTTCTCTCCCTAAATGAAGACAAGACCGAAGTAATTGTTTTTGGTTCTAATGAGAATTCTCAGTATATACGCCCTGATTTGGACAGTTTATCTGTTTTTAGATCTTCACAGGTGCGGAACCTAGGTGTTCTTGTCGACCAGCATTTAAAATTTGATAAACATATCTCCTCCGTTATCGGATCCAGTTTTTATCAACTTCGTCTACTGTCTAAAATCAGAGACTTTCTCACTCCCAAAACTGTAGAAATGGCTGTTCATGCGTTTGTTACATCTCGACTAGATTACTGCAATTCCTTATATTGCGGTATATCTAAATCTCAAATTGCGCGCCTTCAGCTAGTCCAAAACGCTGCGGCCAGACTTCTTCTGAAGTGTCGCAAACATGAACACATTACTCCAATTCTCAGATCTCTACACTGGTTGCCGGTTCATCAGAGAATAGACTTCAAAATTCTACTCTTTGTTTTTAAATCGTTACATAACCTAGCTCCTGTCTACCTCTCTGAACTCCTTCATTTATACACTCCATCTAGAAGCCTAAGATCTTGCGACCAGGCTTTGTTGGTAGTTCCACATGTTAGACTTAAGCGTAGAGGGGAGCGTGCATTTGCGGTGGCAGGGCCACGGCTTTGGAATACCCTGCCTTTAGAAATTAGAATGGCCCCTTCTCTGCCTGTCTTTAAGTCCCTGCTAAAAACCTATATGTTTTCCTTAGTGTATTGATTACTGTTATTCAGTAATTTTTTAATGGGTTCATATTTTTTATTTGGCTTGCTTTCTGTGTATGTTTTTATACATTTCTCTTCTGTAAAGCACTTTGGTCAGCCTAGCGGCTGCTGTAAATGTGCTGTACAAATAAAATGAACTTGAACTTGAACTACAGCAATTTTACTCAAATTAAAGGGATAGTTCATCCAAATATGAAATTTCTGGCATCATTTACTCACCCTCCACTTGTTTCAAACCTGTATGAGTTTCTTTCTTCTGTTGAACACAAAAGAAGACGTTTTGAGGAGTAAAAAAAGAAAGGAATTCATACAGGCTTGGAACAACTTGAGGGTGAGTAAATGATGACAGATTTTTTAATTTTTAGGTGAACTATCCCTTTAAAGGGTATTTATTGATATGAAAAGAAAATTTGCTTCTTAACCGTGGTTTAATCACTGTATTGCACAGCCACGAGGCTTAATGTAGCAATATGATAAAAGACACCAATGTTTAGTGATATTGAATCAGAATCAGAAAGAGCTTTATTGCCGGTATGCTTACACATAGGAGGAATTTGTTTTGGTGACAGAAGTGACAGTGAAGTGGATGGTGTCTTGTAGTTGGTGACGTCTTTCAGTCCTTTCCACACTGATGCAGGGTCATTGGCAGAAAACTGGTTTCTCAGCTTTTCGGAGTAGTTCCTCTTAGCCACACTGATCTCCTTTGTCAGTGTATTTTTGACCTGTTTATACAAGACTGTCTCCATTCCTGTGGGCATCAGAATTATGATGCACATAATTCAGCATAACCTCTCGTATGTTGTTGCTTAATGTTCATGTGTTCTTATTATATTCTGCATAATAATTGTATTCTGTCTTGTAATACTGCTGTTCAAAAGTTTGGGGTAAGTAAGATTTTTTTTTTAAAGAATTAATTTTTTTTTAGCAAGGATGTATTAAATTGACAGTAAAGACATTTATAATGTTACAGAACATTTATATTTCAAATAAATGCTGTTCTTTAGAACTTTCTATTAATCAAGGAATCCTGAAAAGTAAAACGTATCACAGTTTCCACGAAAATATTGTGCAGCACAACTGTTTTTAGCATTGATAATAATCAGAAATGTTTCTTGATCAGCAAATCAGCATATTAGAATTATTTCTGAAAGATCATGTGACACTGAAGACTGGAGTAATGATGCTGAAAATTCAACTTTGATCACAGAAATAAATAAAAATTTTAAACATAGCCAAAAATAATTCTAAATTGTAATAATATTTCACAGTTTTTACTGTATTTTTGATCAAATAAATGCAGCCTTGGTTAACAGAAGAGACTTTCAAAAACATTAAAGAATCTTACCAACCCCAAACTTTTGAACTTGAAATGTTACATTAGAAACCATGTTTGTTTGTTCTTCAGTTCAGTGGATCTGTCTATCAGTCCTTCTCTAATGATGCTGTGGAGGAACTGTCTCAGAGGAAGCCGGGGGTTTCCATGGTGACGGCAGATGTCGGGCTGGTCAGCATGGTGAGGCAGGGGATTCTCGCGCTACAACTTCTGCCTCCAAACTCTGGTGCAGGTAAGCGTCTCCATACGTGTTGAAATCCAGTGAACATCACATTCACAAACTGTTTATTTTCCATTTATTCATTAGATATTAACAGTGAATCTAGAAACAAAATTATTTATACCATGAGTGCCTTTAAAGAAGAGCTAAAGTTTGCCGGGGTTAATGGCTTTAACCCATGCCTAAATGGTCAGTCATGTGGTCTCTCTCAGTCTAAGTGGGCAGTACAATAAGTGCATAAATGGCAGTGAATGAAGTGCTTGTGTAGTTAGTCGTCTTTTGTGTTGTTCTGCAGGCATAATAATCATCACAGATGGAGTGACGAGTGTTCCTGATGTTGCTGTGTGTGAAACGCTACTGAACCAGCTGAGAAGTGGAACCATTGCCTGTTCGTTTGTCCAGGTGCTGCTCAGATCCATTAGACAACTCACAAATATATTATAAATAATATTATTTACAATGCCATTCAAAACTTTGGGGTTGGTAAGATTTTTAATGGTTTTTAAAGAAGTCTCTTCTGCTCACCAAGGATGCATTTATTAGATAAAAACATATGGTAAAATCAGTAATATTGTGAAATATTATTACAGTTTAAAATAAGTGTTTTCTATGTGAATATATTGTAAAATGTAATTTATTCCTGTGATCAAAGCTGAATTTTCAGCATCATTCCTCCAGTCTTCAGTGTCACATGATCTTCAGAAATCATTCTAATATGCTGATTTGCTGCTCAAGAAACATTTCTGAGTATTATCTATGTTGAAAACAGTTGTGCTGCTTCATATTTTTGTGGAAACTGTGATACATTTTATTTTTCAGGATTCTTTGAAGAATAGACAGTTCAAAAGAACAGCATTTATTTGAAATAGAAATATTTTGTAGCATTATGTCTTTGCTGTAATTTAATGCATCCTTGATGAATAAAAGTATTAATTTCTTTAAAACAAAATCTTACTGACCTCAAACCTTTAAATGGTAAATGCAGATTATTTGTTTTACTGTGTAACTGCTCTGAGGTGTTGTGTTTGTGAATGTGTCCTTCAGGTGGGCGGTGCTTACTCCTATGACTGTAGTTTTGGCTACATCCCCAATGTGGAGCTGATGAAGTTCATCTCCATGGCAACCTTTGGCTCCTACCTGTCCATGTATCCAGAGTCCGACTCTACAGGCGACGAGATGAACGCTTACCACCGCGCCTTCCTCACATACTCCTTCCTGAGGCCCGGCGAGTCCATGAACCCAGAGTACTGCTGCTGTAAGCTCAACACTGAAGCCACACCTAAGAATATCTGAACATCAAATCTATATGCCACAGGATCTCCTCTTTTCACTAACATCACTTTTCTTGAGCACTTTTGAAGTCTTAGTGTGTTTGAATCACACAGGTGTAGAGAATCACATTATCTACAGACATGTTTCACTAACCACTAACAAAATACATACTGTCATTTTCAACACTAGAACTACTGTTTTAGCATTTCATACCGTCCATGATTGTCCATTTGATTTCATATTTTGTTAAGTAATGCAGTGACATTCAGACATTAAGTGACCAGTGTTATTTCAGTAATATTTATACTGTTGTAGTATTTATTTATATTTAGAATTTTCAGTATTATTTTTATATTTTATGTTATGTGCTTTTGTCATTTTTAAAAAAATATTTTATTATTTTTTAAATTTCGTAAAGATTTTTATTTCACTTTTAGTTTTAATAATTTTAATACTCCAACTTAAACATATTTATTTCAGTTTATTTTCATTTTCATCTAATCCAGCTCTTTTTCCAAATACCAAAAAATAATATTTAACAGTTTTAGTTAACAGTAACAGCCCTGAGTGTGATTAAAGTATCCAAATAGTTTACTTAGAACGTACTTATGTAGATGACCATGGAAGTCTAAAACTGAGATTAAACAGCTGCTGTTTTATTAGGCAAATATGAGATGTGAGAACCACAGAGAAGGATGGAAAGCATTCGGAGGTGTTTGAACGCTTGAATATTTCTAAGACAATATTTCTCTGTTCACTTAAAACACTCTGTTAGTTCACCACACATTATCAGACTGCAAAGAAATCAATACCAAAGCTCTCAGCACTCAGTATATCAGCCCTGTCTGTGCTCTTTCATTTCTGCCTCATAGTCAAGCCAAATTCATATCACATTAGAGGCGGTTTCATAAATTTTCACGAGGTTTGGTCAAAAGTTGGTTCAGATGTCATATGATTTTCAGTGGGCCTCTTTTGAAGTTGCTTCATCATTTGTGAAACGCAAGCATCTGACTGCAGGGAACCACAACTGATTTTACTTTCACTTTTAAAACATCTACATACAGCTAGGATTTGATTTGGTTAGCATGCAAAATGAGCATATATAGTAACACTTCTCACTATTTTTATTTTACTAGCATATTGGCTGTACTTATAAAGCACATATGTGACCCTGGACCACAAAACCAGTCATAAGGGTAAATTTTTTTAAATTGACATTCATACATCACATGAAAGCTGAATAAATAAGTTTGTTAGGATAGGACAATATTTGACCGAGATACAACTATTTGAAAATCTGGAATCTGAGGGTGCAAAAAAATCAAAATATTGAGAAAATAGCCTTTAAAGCTGTCCAAATGAAGTTCTTAGCAATGCATATTACTAATAAAAAATTAAGTTTTGATATATTTACGGTAGGAAATTTGCAAAATATCTTCATGGAACATGATCTTTACTTAATATCCTAATGATTTTTGGCATAAAAGAAAAATCGATCATTTTGACCCATACAATGTTTTTTTTGCTATTGCTAAAAATATACCCCAGTGACTTAAGATTCGCTAAGGTTTAAGGTTTTGTGCTCCAGGGTCACATATTAATGTCTGATTCTGCATGACCGTATTTTAGATTCCTTAATCCACCCCATACCTAAACTTAACCTTACTAACTATTAATAAGCAGCAAATTAGTTTATTGAGGCAAAAGTTGTAGTTAATAGTGAGAGTTAGTCCTTAAAAGTGTGGCCATATATTTAAATGAATTTATTTTAGGTTTATCTTTGCATAATGCAATGCATACAGCACTGTGATGGCTGATCTGTGTCGTCTGTGTGTTTGTAGTCTCCCAGCACAGGCTCTTTAATGAACACCTGGTGTCGGCCAGTGGAAACCCTGCCTTAGTGATGCGCAGGAAGAAACACACGGAGAAGGAAGTGCACGCTGACTTGATCAGTGTGCTGTCCATCAGACTGCGAGAGGGATACACCATCCGGGAGATCAACATCACTAAAGGTACTTTAACCTCATAAAGTGTGGTGTTCAAGTATGCTTGTATAATGATCATATACAAATATTATGCATTTAATGCACCCTTGAGATTTCGAAATAATCTCGTCTCTTTATAAGGAGGAAGTCAGCTGGAGGTGAAGCTGGTCCTCCTCTGGAAGCATAACATGCGTATCGAGTACCTTGCCGTGGCGTCCTGGCCCCTGAATCCAGTCAAACGCACCACCTGGGTGGAGGTGACCATAGAGGGCAGCTACGACATCCTCCATGACATCAGCTGCACCATGCGGAAACCAATCACAAGCCCCTACCGGACGTCTGTCATCCGCCGCTTCTGGAACACTCTGCAGAGGTCCGTTATAAACTCTGGTTTCAGTCTTATCTTGAATGATGATCGCAGAAGAAATCTTTACGGTCTGTTTTAGTTTGATGATGTAGAGTAATGCTGTATAGTGTTTCTCCTCAACAGCATAAATCAGACAGACCAGATGTTGGTGCACCTGCAGTCCTTTAATTCCATCCCAGAACACTACACCATCCCCGAAAGCACGAAAAATGGGGTTCCTCTGTTTTACATCCCACCTGGATCCAGCACACCGGTGAGTGTTCGTGCAAAATGAAAAAGTCAGTAAGACCCAACTTTTTTTTATTTTTTAAAGAAATTCATACTCAAAAATTCATTATATTCAGAAAGGATGCATTAAATTGATCAAAAGTGACAGTAAAGACATTTATAATGTTAAAAGATAAAAGATTTCTTTGGTGTTAAATACTTTTTTTTTTCAACTTTCTATTTATCAAAGAATCCTGAAAAACAAAAAACATGCAGCAGCACAACTGTTTTCAACATTGATAATAATCAGAATGTTTCTTGAGCAGCAAAGCAGCATATTAGAATGATTTCTGAAGATCATGTGACACTGAAGACTGGCGTAATGATGCTGAAAATTCAGCTTTGATCACAGAAATACATTTCAGTTTACAATATATTCACATAGAAAACAGTAATTTTAAACCGAAATAATATTTCAGAATATTACTGTTTTTACTATATTTTTGGTCAAATAAATGCAGCCCTGGTGAATTATTTCAAAAACATTGAAAAATCATACTGACCCCAAACTTTTGTAGTGAATCCTGTGAAAAAAGCGTCTCTTAAATTACATAAACAGTAGCGTAGCACACTAAGGTTAATGTTTTTGATGTATTTTGGTGATTTAAACATGTTAAACACAATCCTGCTCTCCATCAGGTCCTCTCCCTCCAGCACAGTGGCTCTAAAGACTCCAGCCAATCACAGTTTGCCTCCTACTGGAAGCCCATCCTGTCCATGGACGCCAACTTCTGGCAGCGCTGGCTGCACATGCATCGCATCGCTATCCTTCTGGAGCATGACATGTGAGTGAACACAGCCTGGATTGGTCAGCGGTCTCTATAGCATAGACCTATCAGCAAAATGTTAACTTGAGTTGGAATGAAATAAGAGAGATTAGATTTAGAGAAACCGCTCCATATAAAATGTCAGTGTGCATTAAATCCCAATGGCAGTAAACGGTTTTCTTGTCTATGTTTTGCTGTGTTTTTCTGTTCAGCCCGGTCCCAAAGCACGTGCACAACGCTGGCAGTAACGGTCGCTTCAGTACCATCCAGTGTCGCATCTCTCACTCGGCGCTCACCTCGCTGCTCAGGGACTGGAGCAGTTTCGTCCTGGTGGAGGGATACTCGTACGTCAAACTTATTTACAGGTACATGCACAGCTCATTTGACAGATTTACAGAGCATTTTAACAAGCATTATTCCCACACTAGATTCAGACATTTTTCCCACATTCAGATATTTGTAAGTAACCAGTGTTATTTTAGTATTTTTTATTTATATTATTTATTTATATTATATTGTGTTGCTTTTATATCATTTATTCATACCTGTTATTTTTATATTTTCATTATCTTTTCATTTTTATATTTTCATTATGATTTTTTTTTTGTTATGTGCTTTAGTCATATAAAAAAATTTCTATATAACTTTAATTAATTTTTATTTCAGCTTTAGTTTTAGTCATTTTTATACTTCAACATGAACATATTTCAGTTATTTCTAATACATTTCTAATTTTCATGTACGTTTTTTTTTAATCTAATATTTAGATTTGATTTGATTTAAGCTTTTTTCAATTACCGAACATTTTTTTAATAGTTTTAATTAACAGTAACAACACTGTGTGACTAAAGTGTCCAAATACTTTTTGGGGATTATGTATGTGACTGTGTTTAATCCAAGGGTTATTATAGTTAACTAAAACTAAAAAACTTAAACCAAAAAAAAATAAAAAATTGTTACTTGAAATAAAATATGAACTGAAATAAAATAAAATATTAAATCCTTTTTATTTCAGCTAATTGTCAAGGCGACATTTCTTATTTTAATTTAATTTATTTTGATATACTAAAATAACTAAAACTTAATTAAAACTTAATGTAGACGTATATAAAAAAAACAATCTACTAAAAATTACATAAACACAACAAAATTACTAAAACTAATTAAAATGAAAATGGAAAATATACAAATAAAAACTAATTCAAAATATTAATAAAAATGACAAATCACAACAAAATTACTCAAACTTACTTAAATTGTTACTTGAAATAAAATATGAACTGAAATAAAATAAAATATTAAATCCTTTTTATTTCAGCTAATTGTCAAGGCGACATTTCTTATTTTAATTTAATTTATTTTGATATACTAAAATAACTAAAACTGAATTAAAACTTAATGTAGACGTATATAAAAAAAACTAAATCTACTAAAAATTACATAAACACAACAAAATTACTAAAACTTTAATTAAAATGAAAATGGAAAATATACAAATAAAAACTAATTCAAAATATTAATAAAAATGACAAATCACAGCAAAATTACTCAAACTTTAATGAAAATCGAAATGGAAAATCTACAAATAAAAACTGATTCAAAATATTAATAAAAAATGACAAAAACACAACAAAATTACTAAAACTTTAATGAAAATAAAAATGGAAATGGAAAATCTACAAATAAAAACTCAAAATATTAGTAAAAACTGTAGTGGTATCTCAATGATACTAAAATAGCAGTGTTTCATACGCAGTTCATTTGGCAGATTTACAGAGCAGTTCAGCAGTGTTTTAACAAGCATTATTCCCACAGTGCCTCTGAGCTGCCCCCCGTCTCCTTCTATCTGGTGCGTCTGATCTCTAAAGCTCCCTGCATGGTGCTGCGATTGGGCTTCCCGATAGGAACTCTGGCACACTCCAGGAACAAGGTGAAGGTGTTTTCCACACTAGAGTTCAGTTCATTTGGTTGCTGTGAAAGCTGTTTTCAGAGCAGCACTGTATGGAGGCGCATAAGAGAACGAGTGTATCTTACTCTGTAGATTGTGGATGAACTTCGAGAGCAGATCCTTCGGCTGCGGTTCCCTCATCGAGTCCAGAATAAGGAGGCCACACCAAAAACCAAGCGGAAGATTCTGGGTAACGCGTCGCCCTCCATGTCTCCGCCTCTTTCTGTGCCCAAACCGGCGCTGTCTGACCGGCCGTGTGTGGTGGTGCTCAACAAACCTCTCGAAAAACTACTGATCAGGTTAGTGATGTAACATTAAACAATAATAGATCTCATTACTGTTATCTCAATTTAGCTTCATGAAGTTATGACGGACCTATAATCAACATGAAGTCAAAAGTTACCTTATTTTCTCACTACACGTCTTACTGTGAACGATTCATTGGTGCGTGTTAGTCTGAAGAAAATAAGTTTTCCTTTTTACTCACACAAAACCTTTTTATTTCTGTATTTTATATTTTTAGATTTGAACTTTTCATGATCAATGTCTAATGGATAAACTGGACTAAAATCCAAATATTAATGTGTTTTTCTTGTTTAATATCATGTTTTACTCAGAAATGTGTCACTTTACAAAATTACAGTGATTTGCGAACACTGTTTTAATGCAGACTTAGATAAGTGTTATTTTATTATTATTTATACTAATTTAGTTTTTATTAATATCTTGATTTTTTTATATTTTCTGTTTTCATTGTAATTTTAGTTCAAGTTTTAGTAATTTATTTATTTTTAGTGGTCGACCGAGCCAAGGCCAATATATCGGCCGATATTTGTCATTTTACAAATATCAGCATTGGCCGATAAGTTTTCCTGTTTGGCCAATGCATTCGAGGCGTGACTTTTATTTTGCATTTATATCATTTAAACAAATCTTTGAATGTCTAATAAACATTTCAAATTTAACACATTTATTTTTTTAATAAATTTTCAAATGATTTCAAATTTCTTAAATATGAATTAAAATAAATAAAATTATATCGGCTTTATATCGGCCATCGGCCACCCTGCTTTCCAAGATATCGGCATCGGTATCGGCTGTCAAAAAACCAATATCGGTCGACCACTAGTTATTTTTGTCATTTTTATTATATCATGTCATTTTATTAGTTTTGATTTTAGTTTAATTTTGTAATTATTTGTGCTTTTGCCATTTTTTTTTTGTATTTCTATTTAGCATCATTTTTGTTTCAGTTTTAGTAATTTTAGTACTTAAGCTTCAGTGTACTTTATTTCTGATAGCTGCCATGCCAACATTTCGAATTTTAGTTTCTTTAAAGTTCTTTAAATTGAAGTTTTTCTCATTTTCTAATCTAATTTTTATAGTTTATTTTTATATTATTTGTGACCCTGCCTGTGAAAACCCAGCTAAGGTCATTTTTTTGTGATTTACTGTTTTCTACATAAAATCATCCTTTATAAAGATGTAAAGAACATTCTGTGAAAATAACCTTTGTATCTTCAATATTGACTGAGTAAGGCCATGTCAAAAATTTAAATCATAGTGAAATTAATGGTTGAAATCCAACTTTGATGCTTGTTATCTCATAATTAGATTTTGAGACTTTAGCCTGGATTTCACAGACAGGGTCACATTTTCCTTTTTTTCAATAGTTTTTGTTTTAGTTTAAAATAACAACACTGACTCTGATTAGTTCTTCTGTAGCTCAGAGGTTTCAAAAACTTATTATTTAGCAAATCTGCCCCCTAATCTTGCTCTGACGTCCTGCTGCAGGTACGAGAAACTTCCGTCAGATTTCCGCACCCCTTTCATTTTAAACATGGAGCCGTTCGCTCAGCCGCCCATCATGGGCGCCCCTCTCAGCATGGCTGCCAGCAGGACGGCGTCCTCCACCATGGCGTCTCTGTCCCGATACTTCCTGCACCAGCGCTGGGTTTGGGCCGTTCAGAATGGCCCGGGAACCGCCGTGTCGCTGCACGCAGTCGCTCATATCCTCTCCATGCTCTCCGAGTGAGTCTAAAACATCCTTGACCTGTAAGAAGTTACTTCTGTCAAGAGCATTTGCTGCATTCTCAATGGCTGTTTTCGATTGTGCAGTATTCGTCTGTCGGAAGGCTTCCACTTTGCCGCCAGTGGAGAGGGTATCGTCAACATGGTGTCAGAACTGCCAATGCAGGTGAAAGTATGAATACTCTACGCTAGTATATCCCAGTTTTAGCGTTTTGGTAGCGATGCATCTCTAACTTTCAGCCACAACTGTGCAATGCAGAGTCCATCAGCTGATTTGGACGGAGAAAAACACACCTGCATTGTCCAGTACATCCTTTTCCCACCTCATTCCACTTCTACCAAGGACAGGTAACGCTTCATCTGTTCACTGCTAAATTCTTCGATGGCTTCAGCTGAGTGATTCCTATGCTGTAATGGTCTAGAGTAGATCATTGTAAGGCTGAGTGCATCATCACACTGCTCGCATTTAAAGAGGTTCTGAGTTTAAAAGTTTATGATTTAGTAAATCTGGCTCCTAATCTTGTATGAGAAGATAAATTTGTACGAATTTACGATGGCTTTACAATGAAACTGCAGGGGTATTTGTGAGATTATGACAGAAATACAGATACTCAATTAAATGAAAGTGTATAAATTTTAAAATGTAATATAAAATTAAGTACAATTTAAAAAATATATATATATAAAGAAAAAAATCAATAGAACATTTACTTGTTAATTAAACCTTAATAATCAGTTAAGTTTGGTTTAATTTAAATCAAATAATTAAACAAGTTTGTTTTAGTTAACTATTTTTATTGTTTTGATTATTTCCAAATTTGAAGATGTTATGAAATTCATTACATTTAGCATTAGTTAAAGTCTCAGGGGGTAGTTCACAGGAAATAATTTTGGTCATAAAATGTTTGTTTGACAAATAAGGTTGGGAAACTCTGCCTTCATGAATTGTGCAGGATCTGAAAAAATTTAAAATTGTTTGTAAATAGCATCAAAATAAAACAATGACTGAAAAAAAAAATTTAATAATACAATAAATAAATAAATAGTTAAGATCTGAACAATCTAAAAATGACTAAAACTTTAAAACTAAAATTAAAATAGTAAATACAAAAATAAAAACTAATTCAAAATATTAATAAAAACTACAATACTGTCTCAATAAAATAACTAAAATAACACTTCATTCTGCTAGTCGACCAAGTGGCCGGGTCAAATGTTTATCTTATCAAACCAAAAGGGTTGTATTATTGTATTTCTGCTAATTTCCACTTTTATGACATCCATTATTTGGAGAGATAAAATACAATAAATAAATAGTGCAGAACTGAAAAATATTTAATTGTTTGCGAATATGGTTTGTCCGCTTCACACAGCTAATGGCATGCTAGGTGCACTAATTCAATTAAAAGATTAGAAGAGCACTGTTGGTGGTAGTTTTTGTCTTATAATGGGCGTTTGGTGTAATTTGGCGTGGTGTCTCCAGTTTCTCCACAGATGATGACAATGACACTGAGGTGGAGGCCATAGATGTGGACACAGAGCTGAGTTTGGTGACGGAGTGCTGGGTGGAGCCTCAGAGCGGAGCTGTCTGCAGCTCACTGGAGCAGCAGAGACACTTTCAGAAGCTCACGTATCAGGAGATCCCTCAGGCTGTTAGTCACAACATCATGACTGCCACTCATATGTGACAGAAAAATGCCTAGTAATTGTACCTATTTTACAAAGCTGTGAGACTTGACAGTGGTCAGTACAATTAGCTTTACATGAGCATTCATAAAGTGGCAATTACAAAGCTTTTAGCTCCTATAATGCATTTCTGAGTGACATCTTTACCAGAATACACAGTAAAATATGGTGGAAAGTGGTATTTTCGCTATACAGTTTTAATATATATTTTTTAATATTACGTCATCGCTCCACTATAGTGAGTAGGAGCTGTTAAGAAGAAAAAGAGAACAAAATTACATAAATTTTTGAAATGGGCCGTTATTATGGCAGCAACAGGTATGCAATACAATTTTAAAATATGCATTATATACATTTATATCAATTACAGCTTGTTCGACTAGTCATTCTACCAGAAGTATTATAGATAACAAACTAAAATTAAAACCATAAAAAAAAAATATTTTCATAACTTAAATAAAATGTTACCTAAAATCAAATTAAGTATTAAAAAACTTATTTCACTTCAGATAGTTTCTCATTTTCTTGAGATGTACTAAAATAACTAAAACTGAATTAGAAATGAATAAAAATTGTATAGACATAAAAATAAAACAAAATGACAATAAATTGTCAAAAACACGCAAAAAAAATTAACTAAAATTTAAATGAAAGAAATATATAATTTATAAAAACTATAATAATGTCTCAATAAAATAACTAAAATAACACAAGTTGACCAAGTAGCCAGGTCAGATGTTTATTTTGATGTTTCGTTATCATATTTCTGATAATTTCCACTTTTATTACATCCATTATTTGGAGAGAGAATGCCCAATAACACCAGGAACATTAAGTAAGAAAGTAAACAGGGTCAGTTTTGATTTCATGTAGACTTTAATGTATTTAGGCATTTTTATTGAGAACTGACAGAGTCAAAGCTTATGAATTGCATTTCTCTGTTCCAGATTTTTCCACGCGATCTGTCGTGCATGACGACGATGATCACATTCGAATACCTCATCCAGCTGTGTCAGAATAAAGAGCAGGTGTGTCCTCTCAGCAGCGTCAGAGATGCTCCAGGTACAAACCTGCACCGTCAGCCGTCTCCTTACACACAGTCATATGAGATCTGAAGCTCAGTGTGGTGTGTTGCTCCTGTAGGAGAGATCCCCGCCGCTGCTGCTGATGACTGCATACACACTGTGCCTTTCCAGTTCGACCTGATGAAACTCTTGCCCAAGTGCCAGCAGATCGAGCTCTTCTTCTACACCTTCAGCCGAGGTACGAGTCCATTGTCCGTCCTCCCCTACCCTCCTCCTGTCCTTTCTTACATTCATATTCCTTTATCCAAATGTGACCCTGGAGCACAAAACCAGTCTTAAGTCGCTGGGGTATATTTGTAGCAATAGCCAAAAATACATTGTATGGGTCAATATAATCGATTTTTCTTTTATGCCGAAAATCATTAGGATATTAAGTAAAGATCATGTTCCATGAAGATATTTAGTAAATTTCCTACCGTAAATATATCAAAAATTTATTTTTGATTAGTAATATGCATTGCTAAAAACTTCATTTGGACAACTTTAAAGGCGATTTTCTCAATATTTGGATTTTTTTGCACCCTCAGATTCCAGATTTTCAAATAGTTGTATCTCAGCCAAATATTGTCCTATCCTAACAAACCATACATCAATGAAAGATTATTTATTCAGCTTTCAGATGATGCATAAATCTCAATTTCAAAAAATTGACCCTTATGACTGGTTTTGTGGGCCAGGGTCACATATGTATCTTTACGTACCCCAAAATAGTCAAATGGTAATTAAAATTGTTTGTGTTCGCTTAGTATTTGCGTTCAGTTATACACTGTAAAAACTGATTTTTCAAAGTCAAATAAAGATTAATCGAGTACAACTTACAAGAAAATACTATTTCAGCCTTTCTACTTAATTTCATGTTTAATTCAATGTTGCTTGCTATGTCTTTTTAATTGAGTGAAACTGAGTGAAAATTGTTCAACGTTTAAAAACAAAAAAACAAAAAAAAAAAACAAGTCAGTGTAGAGGTTTGGAATGACATTAAGGTTAATAAATTAATTTTCAGCTATGGGTTACCCATTTTCCCTCATCACAATCCCAGTGATCTCTATCTTCTCTCTTTTAAACACATTTAAATGAAAGATGAAAGAACACTTACCGGCGACATGTAATATGGAGTTCCGACAAATGTTTTAGCAAAGCTTGTATCATGGTTCAGTATCCGAGCTAAACCAAAATCACCAAGCTTTACATTCTGTTTGACATCCAAAAAGATGTTTGCGGGTTTCAGGTCACGGTGCAGTACTGTACTGCTGCCGTTACTTCTACCATGGCACTCTTTTAAAGCCAGGGACAACTGTGCCATCACACGCAGGATGAATTCTTCTTCCAGGTATCGTCTGCAAAGACAATGTAAAAGAAACAAACATTGCAGGAAAACAGCTTAAACAACAAAATACCAGTAGCAGGGTTTCTGCAGGTTTTGTGGAGGTAAATTTAAGACGTTAAGACCAAGTGAAGAAAATTTAAACTAATACATTTATTGGAACACAGTATGTCAATGTGTTTTCTAAATGTGATTGAGTTGTATTTTTAAACTTTGAAGTGTTGCTAATACATCTTCATTACTTTTTAAATTTATTTAACAAAAAATAGTTTGAGGCTTGAATAGCTCTGCTCCCAACTTCTAGAAATATGGAAATAACTTTTATGGTACCTTCTGATCACACTGCAAAAAAAGTGATATTCTTCTTCTTCTAGATATTCTATCGTCTTATTTTCCTCAGTTTTTATCTTATCAAGGCAAATGTCTAAATATTCTTAAATCCAGATACATTTATTTGAGAAGAAAAATGATACAAGTCTTGTTTTCTGTGAAAATGATCAAAATTGAGTTTATGAAAAGAACAAATATCTGCAAGTGGACTTAGGAAACACGTCTTTAAACAAGTTTTCATTCTCCATTCACAGATATTTGTTCTTATTTTAAACAAACTCGCTTTTAATTTCTCAAAACACCAGACATTCATTTTGCACCTCAAATGCATCTTGATTTAGGAATGTTTAGATATTTGTATTAGAAAACAAGACATAAATGCTGAGGAAGATATTAATTTTAAAGGGGTCCTATTATGCTCTTTTACAAAGTCTTGATTTTGTTTTGGGGGTGTACTAGAACAGGCTCTCATACTAGGTTGTTCGATTTTTCACATATTTTACATTTTTACAACCGTTCAGTCTGGCATGAACGGCTCGAATATTTCCTGCATCAAATGAAGGCCCGCCTTCTGAAACACGAAATGTGCTGTGATTGGTTAGCTGGGCCAGTGTGTGTTGTGATTGGCACCACTCGGCGCCTGGTCGGGAGATGTCATGCCCCTTACCCAGTGGTGTATAAAGTACCTGAAAGCCATACTCAAGTAAAAGTACAGATATCTT